CTGAAGCTGCCTCTTTCCTGCGTTGTCCCTCTCTCAGAATAGGTGGAAAAACTGAGTGGACCATTAGAGGTCAGCATTTGTACTCAGGAAGTGTCATATGGTGAACAGTAACAGCATCTGGCTTTGTCTGGTCTTAGAAGGGTATTAAGGTTGAAAAGAACTTTAAAAAGTTTATGAGTCTTGCATTAATGAACTAATCTCTGGGTGTACTGTGAGAGAAAATTACTGAGTAATTTTCTTTTCTCTTTGTTGCTTAATACCTGTAACCCAGTATTTCGGTTTCTATTTCTGTGATTTACATAGGAGTGATAGGGAGACAGTATTCTGTCACCATTGCAGTTGTTTTGTCTGTCATGTCCTTCATCCTTCAGTCCTTGACTGGTTTTTGTAATAACAAGCATGTTTTCAATACAAAATATGTAAACCTAGCAATAGTAGAAGTTGCTGTAGTATGAAGGAGTATGAAATTCTGGAAACAAAACTGTTTCTAAAGTTTGTAGAAGTTCCAGCTTTACTTCAGCCATTCTGTGCTGATCTGATCTTGATACATTAGGCTTCTAAAAGCGGGTGTGGAGCTTTTGGGGAGAGGCGGTTGGGGTTTTGGTGGTGATGGGGAGCTTCGCAGACCCACTGCCAACCCACAGTGTTTCACTCCTCACAAACTTACTAAATGTACCAGGGGAAAATAGATATCTTTGTGGATCTTACTGACACGAGTTGAACTTATTTTATAATCCGCTCACACTAGTTGGTAACAATTGAAAAGTCAGTGAACCAAAGAGTTTCTTAATTAGACAGTCCTTAGGCTAACTGGAGTAAAACTCAAATATCCTAGTGATTCATTCGTTCTCAAGATAAACTGTGCATTCTTTATGTTAATCAAATTACATTATAAACTGGTGGAAAATTGAATTTGGCAAGACTTAACAGACTAAGGTTTCTTGTTTTATATGAAAAATATGATAATATTACCAATTTATAAAACTGAAAACCATTTGAAGATTCAGAAAATGTTTTTGGCGATTCCTCAAGGGAGCTTTTATTGGTTCACCTTTTTCAATTTGTTTTCAGTCCATTGCTTTTCAAAGTGCTTCCAGAACAGTTCAAAAATTACTGTTCATTTATGTTGCTGTATGTCAAAATGATACTTAGCAAAATATTCTCAAAAGTGGGGAGTACAGAAGTAATGGATAATTCTCATCCTCCAGTTCTTATAATTTGTCTGTTTTAAATACACTGAGTTATGAAAGGCATTCTTCAAAAAGATTATTGCCTCTTCAGTGAACACTTGTGGGACTATAAAATAACTGATCAGCTTTAAGTCAGTAAGTGAGAGTGAGTGTTCTTGGTTTATATATATAATTAGACATCTTGGTCATTGAACTGTAAGCGTTTATGTTTTCCCTAAATGCAGTCTCATTTGTTTTCATCCATATTTGTTCTCAAGAAAAAGTCCGTGCATGATGATTTCTTTCTGTCCTGTGTTCTGAAGGCAGGCAAAATTCAGGTGTATCTTGGCTATATCTACACTGTTGAAGGTATTTCCCCCATGGCATAACCCCTGCCTCTCTACAGGGCTAGTTTAACACCTCTGGATGTGGTGGTGCCTCTGACACTGATGTGTCCGCTCCAGGAATCCAGGACTCCTCTGGATGCCGCCTGTGCCCCTCTGGCCCTGGGACAGACTTGCATCCAAGTAACAGACTAGGTTGCTTGCATTCCCGGTAGTTTGTTTTATTCAGCACGTTCTTACGAGCAAAACAGGGAGCACATCTTGGAGACAGACAACAATTGGTTGTTAGTCTAATTAAAATCTTAACTAAGTCTAATCAAAGCCTTAATAATAGTCCAGATACTAACACAGCTCAAGTTATGTACGGTTACAGTGATAGAGGCACAAACTCTAGTACCAAACCCTTTCTCTGGTGTTGTCTTCACCCACTGACTCTCCTTCTGGGACTTGACTGGCTTCAACTGGGAGGGGGAAGTCTTTACGGCAAGTCATCAGCGTCCCACATCCTTCCCTGGCAGGAGGGGGAGGGTGGTGGTTTCTTCCACCTTCCCTTGGGTCCATTTGGGATCATTTTTATGTGGTTGTTAACACACTGTGCACCTTGCTCTTTTTTCTGTTCTGTTCTAGTCTGTGCTATACATTGATTCATGATATCACATTGCATCTGAATTTACTACGTAGTGTGTTTTACGTATGTTGAGTACTTGTTCTTTGTTCTATATGTTGCCTATAAAATTGGGTTTACCTAGCTCCTAAGACTGCATCCCATTAATGGCAGGTAATTGAGCACAGGTGAGATGTTACAGCTTAGGGGCCCAGTATTGTCCTGGGTTTGCGCTTTCAGGCCCCTGCAGTCACCCTGTGCCCATACTCCTCTGTGCTGCGTTTTTGCCAGGGTTGTAGGTAGTTCGCTTTGCACAGAACAGCTGCTTGTTACCGCTGGCTGTTGTAAACATGAGTGTAATGGTAGGTGCTAGACAATTGTACAAAGCTAAGCAAAAAGCTAAAAAAAATGAGTTAAGTTCCCTGGTTGTTAAATAATTTTGTTGCAGCTAAATAAGCTACAGTAAAGCTCCAGGCACCCAAGATGAGTTCAAAGCCTGACAAGTTTTGTGGTCTGTGTTGTTAGCTGGAAGTGAAGCCTTTGGCTTCAACGACAACATGACACTTTGTGTGGGTTACAAATGCAGCTACTGTTCTTAATGGTTTTTTCAGTCAAGATGGTTGTAGTAATATGAGGTCTGTGCTACGACCGTCCAGAGTACTATTTTTATATTTATATTATTTTAATTTTTTTTTATAAAGATACTAGTTTATAGTTTGGGGTTTTTTTGCGTTCCATGGGATTCTGTCCTGTGGAGGCAGAACTGTTGCAGTCTTGCCTGTGCACCCTCTAGAGAACAGGTTGTCCCCAAAACTCTGCCTGTGTTTCAGTTTAGGCTTGATTTGCTCTTCAAGGAGGGAAGTAACATACATTCTGCGCAGATGTTTGTGAGGCCACGACTTAGGAGTGGAGCTGTTTGGAGTAGGGATGCATCCTGATATGGTCTAACACACATTATCTTAAGTTTCGCCCTCATAAACATATCTGAGGGTCTTCATTACACTTTAAGACAAACAAGATAATACAATTATGGTTAGGTATATACTTCTGAAATATCTTTAATAGCAGCGTTATTTCAGAAGAAAAAAGAACAACCATTACTGATTATTTGAATTCACAATAACTGATACCTTCCAGCTTGTGTTAAGCAATCTCTAGGACAAGCTATCTTAAGCATAGCTTGTCTTCTTTCTGGGATTTGCAGCACAATTTTAGTTTCACTGACCTAAGTTTTAGGCATGTAATTTATTTGGACCACTTTGAAAATATCAGGTGCTTAAAAAGATTCTTTTGGAAAGTTACTCCCTAAGTAAAAAAAAAACCACTCTCTTCCAAATAATTCTGTATTGATTTCCCAGCAGCTTCCCAGTTTAGAAATATGTTGGGATATTTATTCCTCAAATCCCTTCTGTATAGATTATGAGGGCAAATGGATTCCAGTCACTGGAGACAGAGTTGTGCTAACAGTGAACTGGGCCAGAAAGCTGGAATTTGTAATTAAACCTTTCTTGGCAGCTGCTGGCACTTCCGTTCTCCTTGGCTATGCAATTCTGCGTGTATAGACAGGGCGATAGAAGGGCGAGAAGCATGCTAAGTTTATTTTATTAGGAAATAATAGAGTGAAAAATTTACAGCTCGTTTACAGGTATGTTGTATGCCCTGCAGTGTAGAAGAGTTTTGATTGAAAGCTGCTCAAATTTTGGTGTGTAGTTTGCTTTACCAATGGGCTAGGAGCTTATGTCATTCAACAGGCAGAACTGATGGGCTCTGATGCAAGTCCTAGTTATTCACCTGTTAGAGGCATGAGGTTGAATTGAAGGGAGAGAGGTGGTGAAATAAGCTTGAGAGTTGTGAAGGGTGGTGAGAGAGGCAAAAGACCTGGGAGGCTGAGCACAGTCAGTAAAATACTTCCTAAGCTGATGAGAAGATTCTTTTGACTGAGGTGGTGAGGAAAATTTTGGATATATTTTCTCCATTATATTCTCAGGAAGTGTCTCCAAAAATGCAAAATAAGGTGATTTTACCTTAAGATTAGGGGATTTTTCAGTTTACATCAGAAGACAGGCTGCAGGAGCAACCCTTCTTCCTATTATGCCTGCTGCAGACACAATGTTTACCATATACCAGCAGTGTGGTCTCTCTTATCAGATACAAGAAAACCCAAAGGCTATATCTGCATTTTCATATAAAGCACGTGACACAAATGCGTGTGCTTCTGCTAGTTCCTGAAGGCACGAAACACTAGATGTTGCAGGGTGCGAGAGTACTTTCTGGGGGACAAAGACTGTGATACGTAGGTACAGACTCATTGGCGGTTGGGGACCAAATGTCCTCCAGACAAATGGGATGACCGATTTTTCCAGCCCATTATTTAACATCATTGAAGGGTCAGAAATTGAGATATGGAAGATTTAGTTGAATTTTACCAATATCTCAATTTTAGTCACAGGAGTAAGTTGTTAATTTATTTGGTTAAAAAGTTTTAAAATATGTTTCAATTCTTTTCCTGAATAGTGTCAAGCTTTCACTTATCTTCCGTTTTGTTTTCCAAATACTGGTTTTCCCTTCTCTCTACCCTGGGAGTAATTTCTTATTCCAGATTTAGCTGTGTTATTTTTCTGATTTTTCTTCTGGAGATGAAGTGCCTCAAACTACTGAGTGTAATACTAGTACCATTCCTAGAGTGATGTCTGTCACATTTAATATAAATAATAAGGCTAATGTAGCACTATGTGGCATAAGGCTACAGGAATCCTGAATAATTTTACAGGTGTTTTTACCATTCTTTCTTAACTAAACAGAAAAACCATTCTCACTTTTTTCCTCTCTCTAAATTGTAACAGAAAAAATGCGTTCTGAATGATAACTACTGCTTGCTGAACTGAACTGCAAAGATCTCAGGCTTTGGAGATGAAGATGATAAATCCAAGGAAATAATCCAGCTGCCGCCATTATGACAACTGAAAGGTCCTTTGTGTCAAAATGAACAGTCTTTGAGAAAAATCTGGAAAGCAGTTAAATCTGAAAAATGGGAGAAAGAGTAAGGAGCCCAGATTCTGAACACGACAGGAAATCAGATGGGGATAAAAATAGTGACTCCTATTATTCAGATGAAGATAATGGATCTCGTTCATCTGGCCAGTCGCCAACGCTAAGCTATCCATCTACAAGCCAAGAAAAAAGAGATCACAAAACACAAACTTCAAACAGCCTTGTACACTACCAAGGTAGGTAGATAGCAGAAATTGCTGCTTTGTAACTGCTCTAAAGAGTTAATTATCTTTGAAAGCTGAGATAAAAGTGGGAAACTACCATTATGAGAACCTACAAATAAGGTTCATGTGAATTATACTACAGGTGACAGGTAGACTGTAACTGCTCCGTTGAAAACTAAAATTAACCTGTTCCTGCATAAGGAGGATTTTTGGTGATTTTCAGAATTCTTCATATTTTTCTTAACAAGTGAACATGGCTCTTACACTAGCCTTTTGTTGGATCATGCTGATGCTGTCTTTTGGGCTCTGACAAAAAGGCTCAAGGCCAAGGGCTCAAGGCAAGCCCTTACTAAGCGGTCAGTAAAAGAGAGACAATTGTTACAATTTCTCTGACAAAATAACCCTAAAGATACCTCTCTTGAGGCAGTTTAGTTGACTAAGCTTTACAGTGTAAAACTGGGTGCTTTCAAAAAACAAGCAAATGAAAGGCCGCTAATGTGGCAAGAGAGAAAATGTGTTTGGCGAAAATTAGGTGCATATAGAAATCCAAAAGAAAGTTTTTCCTGGTCCTTCCTTGAAGGTAAAATACCTCAAATTTGAGACGAAATAGCTCCACTTTGAGCTCCCTCGCACACACCTCGCCTACATAAGCTGCTTTCTTGGTCGAAGTTTTGTGTAAGCGAACGTCTTCACAAAAAGGGAGAATGGTTATACAGCCCTGGGCTGAAGTGGGGATGTGAAGTCTCTCTTTGACATCTTGTTCTAAATAATTGCACATGTTTTCTGGTGAAGTCAGAGCATATCCTGCCTTTCTCAAGCAAGTGCTCTCATTCATAAGTGTTTGATACTCTGTGAATCATTTGATCAACACTATGATCTGGAGTGTGCCAGAAGGTCTGACCTTAAATACTGGGTTTGCCCAAGGAGCATATCTTTTCAGATGCTTGACAGTGTTGGTGTCCTGGTGCAACTGGTGTTTTGCCAAGCTTCTCTCTGTTTAAAAGTGGCATCTTCTCCACAGCAGTCATGGGTTAGCTTTCTGGGAAGCACAAACTGCAGTTCCACTGTGCTGTTTAATTTGGAGGGGCCAAGCGAAGGACTAGTTCTTTGATTACATGGCCAGAATTGAACATAATTATTACATGAGGGTATTGTGAATGTCGTGTTGTTCCTGAAAGACGCGCTTCCCCAATTTAACAATGTGGTCAAAAGTGCAAACTTGGTATTGCAATTTTCTGTTCTGCCCTAAATGTGGGAGATTCTTGAAGGGGCTGGAGGTCTAGGGTTAATGGAAATTCCCTTAGCTGGTGTTAGGAGTGGCATCATTACTGCAGTGCATTATTAGATAATCTTCACACCTGAATGTGACCCAAGTGTTCTTTGTAAAGGAAAAAAAAGCAATCTTCTTTTGTTTGCCCAAGCTGTGGAAAAAATGAGCGTCAAGCAGAAAATTGATGAGTATTTGTGCAAAATGTTTAGATGAAATTATAAGAAAATATTTTAAAGCTGTTATTTTTGCTGTAACATATTCTCTGTAGAATAGAAACATGGTGAGCGCCAAAGGGGAGGGAGAATTTGCTGTCACACACACTCACTGTCTGTGTGTAGGTAACTGCATTATTACTGGATCCCTGCTTTCAAACCTGAATTATAAACTGCTGCTCAGTATGTTTCTTCCAAACACTGATGTACCTTAATGATTATGCTCTCTCTATATATTCAGTTGTTTTAAGAGATATTTTTGGTGGATTATATGTTTCATTTATTGAGTGTGGCCTGAGAGGCAAATGAGATAGAAACAAAATGTTTAGCTTTTATCTGTGGGGTTGATAATAAAATAATAATATCAAATCGGAATGCGAGTGATGCACACTAGTAATCAAATAAGGATACTGTGTCGAAAATAACTTGTGATACAAGAATAAATTATTCAGAGGAGAACTGAATTTTCATGGGATTTATAATTTTGCTTTGGAGGCTTTTTACATTGAGCCTTTGAAATCTGCTGTTTTGTCTGTAAGCATGGCAGCTGGATTTGAAAATACTACGGCATTTGTCTGAGAGAATTCCATCTTGCATAATACATAACTAGCTAATGCTTAGCTAATTGTTGCTGTTTGATAATATTGTTTGCATAAGAGTACAGTATTTCTAAAACATTTCAATAAACATCAAGTATTAACAAAATATGACTGTTATTTCTGATACAATTTGCAGATGATTACTTTACAATGGTCCTATATTGATGACTGCAAATATTACCCCTTACAGTAGATCATGGACATAAATCTCCATTTTTTTATCTATCAAAAGGAGCATAAGTCTGTCATATATATGCCTTTTATTGTCTGGTTTGTAAGATGCAATCTCTGCTAAGTAGTGTAAAATTGTTTCAGGCAGAGAGCTTTATTCGAAAAAGGATGTCTGAATAGACAAACTGCATTGTCTTATAGTAAACATGTTTTTTATTTTTCCTCTCTTAGCCACAAAGAAATTGGGCTCCAAATATGCACCAAGCAAAAGAGGGACACGGTGGGGTTTCCGTTCTCAGAGCCTCACTAGGGATTCTCCTGCAAAAGATATAGATCTTGTTACAAAAAGAGTTCTTTCTGCTAGGCTGCTGAAAATCAATGAGCTCCGAAATGAACTGACTGAACTCCACATCAAACTGGATGAGCTGCAGAAGGAAAACAGGGCACTGAAGAGGCTTCAGCACAGGCAGGAGAAAGCCTTGAATAAGTTTGAAGATACAGAAAACGAAATCTCTCAGCTCCTTGCTCGGCACAACAATGAGATTAGAATATTAAGGGAGCGCCTCCGAAAATCTCAAGAGAGAGAACGTGCAACCGAGAGACGGCTGAAAGATTCGGAAGATGAACTGTACAGAACAAAAACTGTCTTGCAGAAACTGAAAAAACTGTCTGCAGATAAGCACCTTGCTGAAAGAGATGACCTGGCAAAGAAGCTAGCCTATGCAGAGAGCAGGCTAGAGGACAGTGAAAAAAGAATTAAGGTGAGGTGACTTTCTTTCTGTAAGAAATTCTGGTACAGATATTTCTTACCATAACGAGCTTCATGAATTGTATTTTTCACAGTTGTGGAGCAAATAGAAAAAAATTTGTAATTTTTTTTTTTTTTTACACATGAGTAGCATCAAGTAAACTATTTCCAAGGTGATTATGTAGTTACATAGTTGGTAGTTGCACATTCAAACTTCTGTTTACAAATTACATGTATTTTGTCAGAATATACACTGTGGGCTTGTGCTTGTAAGTGTTTCTATAACAAGTAATAACATTTCAGAAATGCATGCAGCTGTAATACAACTTTATGCAACCTAATTTATCCTCTTGGAGGGGAAGCATTTGTTAAAAATTTTCTGGGTGTTTAGAGAACTGTACACTAAAATTCTAAAAAATATATATATAGTAATTATTTTTCAATTTTTGTGAACTGCATTCATACAGTGTTTGATTGTCTGCTACTCTGCACATCTGAGAGCTGAGCTGAACAAAATTACAGCAATTTTTTTAATAGTGAAATGAGCTTTAGAACATTTTACGGGTATCCATTTTAAGCATTTTGTGCAACACATTTTAATTCTGCTCAGCAAAAATGTTTAAATTTTTGTAAACATGTCTAAACATGTCTACATTGTAAATATATCTAAAAATTCATCTTATTTAATAATAATTGTGTTAACACTATTAAACAGTTGGCAGCTGTATGCAATACTATTTTTTGCTGAAATTATGTTAGTCATTAAAGTGGTGTTAAAGTTCAGTGTCTATATGGGTAATTAAATGTAAATTACATTACAGAGATAATAGATCTGGAAATCCAAAGGATTAAGCTGGAAACGAAGCTTTCGTAAAATAAATCCCAAAATATCAAGATATAAACTGTTGGGTTACCCAAATCTCCTCACCCTGTAGTGTCACCATCTGGCATCTGTAGTTTTATGATCAGGTGTTTCAGCATTTGTAGTACCGGATGGTGTTAGAGTAAATAGCATGCCAAAAAGTAAGGGGTTTTTCTTCTGTTTTCCTTTGCTCATCCTCACAGGTTCTCTTAAAACACCTATTGCAAGATGAGGTTATGTAAATGAAATCATAAGCACAAATTTGTTTCTAGTAGAAAGGTTAAAAATTATTTCTTGTCATCTTTCTTCTAATCCTGCACTTTCAAGGAGGTATTCTGTTTCTAGACCATCAGTTTGAGATTTGTCTTATGGATCTGGAGGGCCACTGTGCCAAGAGCCTTGCAGAAAGTAATGTGTGTTCCCATTATGTCCTCAAATCACTTCTCAATACTCCAGAAGGATGAGCTGCATCGTCTGCAGGTGCTCCGTCTGCCCCCTCAAAGTTAGGATTAAGGGTTTAAACTTATTATTCAGTGTTATGGCAAAGGTGGAGCTGATAATCTGAATCCAATACACTGGTTTACTGTAATTTTATGTAAGTAATTTGACTATAAGAAAGTACTTCAGTTATTAAAAAATATTTTGTTTTAATTGAAGGATCTGGAAAAAAATCTTGAATTAAGTGGTAGCAGTTTTCAACGAGAGTTGCATTCAAAGAAAAAGAAGATGTATGAGGCTCAAGAAGAAAACAGAGTTCTCCAAGAAGAGCTTCAGCAACTAAATCAGAAGCTGAAGGTAAAACATGAAGCAATACCAGTTGCTAACTACGTTCTGGCATTTTATCTTTGGAACTATCTGTAATCAGGTTTGAGTAGTTTACCAGTGACTACACTCTCTGATGTGTACTTAATTATATACCACATGTAAGTTCCTTTCCTGCTTTAAATTGAAATGTTCTCTGCTCTGACCCTACAGCGTTTATAACAGGAATGTCTCTGCGTTAATCATTGTTCTTAGCACTAGTTAAGAAAAGCAAGATCAAGTACATAGCCAAGCATTGCGATTAAACCACGAGATCTGGAAAATTAGGTTTTGGAGGCTTGAATTTAAAATTAAATCTGCAGGTGTATACAGTGCTTTGTTACTGATGTATTTTCATTACAATAGGTTTGTGTAAAGATTAATTTCATGTATTTGTTGTGCCCACGTGTGTTGCTGAATTTGTGCAAAGGTTTATTGGCATCCCCCCACCCCATCATTGCACAAATTCTGAATTTAAAGACTGAAAATATTGTGCTCTACCTAGTCAGTTTATCTTTAGAAAAGAAAATTAAATAAGACTTGAGCTAAAGTACCTAGTTTCTAGGAGAATTTTCTTGAAATTCCAAGTCTCAAACATACTTATGGAATGGAGATTTAAACCTGATTTGTCAGTGGAGAGTTTTAATATTTTGAAAATATTTTCATTATCAAATGATTTCTCATAACTCACTGTTCATTTCTGTATTTTATTCAATAAATATCATGAAAGAGGAATGTGTCTCTACCTCTATGGTGCAGTGGGTCTCTGCTCTGTGGTACTGACATGCTCTGTGACAAGTAACGTTGCTAGCACTGAAATGTCTAACTTTACAGTACTGAAAATTCACTTGTGCAATGTATACGTACATTGTCAGTCTTATTCATGTTTATGGAAGCATCGGCCTAGGTTTGTTTTCACCAAAGAGATGCCTTTTTTTTTTTTTTTTCTTTCCCCTAGAACATTTTGCTAGTGAGTTTTTTTGGGGGGAGAAAGTTCTGTCTGCTTACTTATAGCATAAGCAAAGTTAGGAATGTTCTCCTTAAAACATTGGATGTAACTATTGATTACGTTACTCTGTTTCTATTTACAGCATGTATTTTTAATTTAATTTGCATTTTTGCTAATGAGTAGTAAATGAAATGTTATTCACTTGTTGTTACACCTACCTCTCACAGGAAAAAGAAAGAGAACTTGAAGCAAAAAATATATATGCTAATCGTATGTTGAAGCTATCACCAAGAAAAGACACAGATATTATACAAAGAAGAAGAGGTAACTTACCTAAAGCAATAAAGGCAGAAAAATTAATTAGCAATGCTTTTAAATTACTCTGCTAGCTTATATCATTCATGCCATTCAGTGTTTGACCCTATCACTGCTTTTTCAAGAACGTTTACTTTTTTTGTGCTGCTTTCAACCCAGCACGGGTTACAAGAAAGGCACGTGGTTTGTTTGACTGCTCTGTAGCTGCAGAAGAACCAAAACCCCGAACGCTCCTTTCATACCAGATGTTCCTGGGTGAAGGAGGAGGGGAAGATTGTTTGAGTAAATTCTCAAACAGATCATAGATAATGTCTGTATGGCAATGAATTACAGAAGCTTTAGAAAGCTGTAACTTCACCGCTGTGAATATTTTGATGATGATTTTTATTTATTTTTTACCAATTCAAATATACTGTCTGTCGGATGAGCTGCACTCTTTTATTATTATTATT